GGATCAGTCATTTTTAAGACTGCCCCATTTCCCAACCTGTTAAAATGCATGTTCTCAGTACTTTTAAGAGGTGAAGAAGCAAAACTGTAATAACTAACTGGATGGGTGAGAAGGGCTTGGGAGGAGGTAGGTGGCACGGTGGGCTTCCCTCCAGCTTTCTGAAGTGAGCTCAGTGGAGAGATGAACAGTAGGAACTATCTGAGAAAAACTGAAGTTCCTTAAACAGGGAGGAAGCAAAGCAATGATAGTTCCCTAGGTGCACTGCCACAAAGTGTCACTTGTGATTAACTCACAGGGGTTCCAGGGTCCAGCATATTCTCTACCCTATGCATTAAAACATGATGTAAACATCAGTGGCCTCTGTTCACATCGAAATCATTGCCGTGGCTCTAGTATGATCTTGGCATATTTTTCATGCCTTTAAATCCAGACACAGTATATACAGCAGAATATTTGCAGTCATCCAGCACAACATTTTTGTGGGGGAGTCCATCTCCCCCACCCTACCCCACCCCCACAAAAATAACATTACCCCATAGACAAAATTACATCAAACCTCACAACACCCTTGGAAGGTATTGCTATGTCCTCATATTTTTAATAAAAACATTAACGTTCTAACTTCAAATAACAACTACTGATATCAATGTATAAGACTATTACAATATTTATAGGGAACTTGCAACCAACTTCTTCAATGTCCAGAAACCTGTTTAGCGTATTGATGGCATGGTGGGGTATAGACTATCTACAGCTTGGGTGAATCAGAGGCACAGTCTTGTCTTACTTTATGAGCTCACAAGTTTAAAGCCCACACTTCTAGGCCTTTCCAAGTCCACAGTTCTTAGCGCCAGAAGTGACCCCCTGGGTTCGCTGATCATTCTCAGGACCTTCAGTTCTGCACCCTTATAAAACAACCCCTTTCTTAGAATGGCTCAGGGCTAGCCTTTGGTTTTAGGTCAAAATCGTCACGTAAATCTCCAATCATTCTTCTCATCTGATCTCTGTCCATAGAAATTTCCTGAACTTTATTTTCTGTATGAATGTAAAAATAGATTCTGATTCTTTAAGAGATTTCACTATATGTTGCTTATCTTCTTCTAATCTTGATGGGTGTTTTAGGACAAAATTTTCTCCACTCGCCTTTTCTCTTCTTGAAATCACAAGTCCTAATTCCAAGTCTTTGAGTCCTTAGAGATGTCCAAACGCTTGCACAAATCTCCGTGTCTCAGAGTTTCCAAAGCTCTAGAAGGACCAACATTTCTCTCAATGAGGTGCCCTTTACAGTTAGGACTGAGACATTAACCTGACGGTGTTCCTCCCTGCCGTGGGATATGTCTCAGAGGTAGTCCCTCCTCCCCATCCACCCTTGATGTTGGTGATTGAACCCAGGCCCTTGGTATGCTAGGCAAACACTACTACTGCCAAGGAATACTGCTTTTTCCCATAAAACATTCTAAACTCATGCTCTTCAGAGGGGAGAAAGAAGCACAGGAGGATAAGAATAGTGATACAGCTGCTACTTGGAAAGCTTTATGTCAATGTAAGATTTGTTAATAATACAGTGTTTCAATTGAGTATGACTTTGTATCTTTAGATATTTCTCTTTGCAGGAGAAATCTGAGGTCCTTTTCTTTCTGTGAGGCCTCTGTGAATATGGATGCGCCTAGCAAAATGGTAAGCGTACATTAAAAGGTGAGAAATTTTGTTATGGGCGAGCTAAAAGGCTGAATCAGAATGGGTAGCAAAGCATGATTAGTGGCTTATCTCTCTTGGGGAGAGAATGACTTTTAGGCATCTAAGGATTGGTGGATTTCTCTCTCTCTCTTTCTTTGAGAGACACTTCTATTTAGTTCTCTGCCAGTAGGAACAGCCCATGCAGCACTTCAAATTGTGATAGGGAACATTTGGAGAGTCAGTTTTATTTTTTTTCCCCACTCTCACCCCAACTTGCCACCTTGGCTGCAAAGGGAACTTTTTGTGGGTTTGGTTAGTCCCAACCTGGGTGTGTGAGGGCTGGTGGAAAAGGAAGGTGAGAGTTATAGGGTTTGCATTCCGGGGCCTCTGCTTGAGAAAACAAATGTGCTGCTGAAGCTGCTCCAGCACTTCACTGACCAACTTACAGGTGCCAGTCCGACCCCTTCTTTCTAGGCACCTTACTTCAGCTCCACCCACCCCCATCAAGGAGGGGGTGTTAGTACAGGAGTGCATGCAGAGGAAGTGCGTGCCTGTGTGGTAGCAACCACTACACCCCACTGAGTTCAACTGCAAGACTTAAGAATGTGGAGTTTCCACCTAGACATTCTCACTGAGTTCCATGGGCCCCAACTGAGGGTCAGAATACCACCATGAAAGTGCAGGCTTTGTGAATGGGCACCTTACTCAGAAAACTGGCCTCAGGAGTTTGGGAGTTATTCAGCAAGTCCATAGTCACAGCACAAAGGAGGGTCTGATCCATAAAGAGTCCTCAGGGCTCTTAGAATGGGCCTTAGTTTGCCATTTTGAAATGCAAAAGTTGGTTTCTTCAGCAGACTCTAGTGCTAATCTGCTAGGAATGTCCCTTTTCCTTAGCTGTCTCTCCTGCTATTTCTTGCTTCCTAATTCTTGTCCCCTGAAGAGTCAATAGGATGTGTGAAATTTCAAGCATATAAGCAGTTCCTCATTCACAATGGATGTGAGAGCTGAGTCCTGCAGAAATACAGTGACACGCTGAAGACTACACACCAAAACACACCTAGTCCTTTAGCTGAAGTGTCAAACATATTGGGACTGTTGCCATGGAATTTCATAAATCCTTTTTCCCTGAGATAGACGCCATGCTACAAAGAAGGCTAAGCCATTTGTGCAGTCGGAGGTGGAACATTTTAATTACTGGCAGCACATAAATGAGTTGAGTGAGAGCTGAATGCATAAGCCCTTTAGAAATAAAACGCTAATCTACCAGGAATTTGGGATTCTTGGCTCTGATAGAAATTTTCATAAACCTGGTTCTTAATTTGTAAATAGGCTCCATGAAGTTGTCCCTGGAAGCAGAATTTATTTTCCCTAACACAAGTTCTTAAAAAGGGAAAAAAGAAAGAAAAGGCTCTGGTAAGCAGTTGCAGGTGCCAATTTGTGTGTACATTTTGGGCAAGATCAAAATACCTTCCTGTTTTTTGTTCTTCCCCACCATCTTCTTCACATTCACAACTCAGTGGTTAAAGGAAAAACTTATCACACCAGCATTTTCACACTAAAGAAATGTGAAACATATTTTCATATATAGACTTGTCTATTTAATACCCATACATTAAGAGGTTTAAAAAATAACTTGTGGTTAAGGCATATTCGCATATAAATTTAAAGCTGGAAGGAATTTTCAAGAAGGGTTTAAATCCAACTCTTATTTTATGGTTGAGGAAACTTAGTTTTTAAGAGTTAAATGATTTGCTTAAAGTCACATACTAATTAGTGGCAAATATGAAATCAGCAAACAGGTTTGGTGACCTCTATTCCATTGCTAGTTTTACAAATGATCACAGCACTTCTTGATAGCTTGGTGCCCATTTATAGTGAGAAAGATGACTGGTACATCTGTAGATCAGAATTTTCATGGAATGCAGCAGCTCCATTTAAAATGGAGGAGGGAGGGCTGGTGAAGTGGCTCAAATGGTAAAGCACCTGCTTAGCAAGTGTGAGGCCCTGAGTTCAAACCCTAGTACCACAAAAAAGAGGGAAGGTTGGAAGAGCCACATCTGCCTGACCCAGAAGAACCTGTCAGTAGAGGTGTTCCCACCTCACCCTGTCCTGAAACTTAGCTCTGATCTAAACAATACTCACAGCATCTCTCTTATGAGGCAGGGAAGGCTAAGCAGAACAGTTTGGATCCTTCATTTTTTTGTGTGTAAAAAAAATCACTTTCAAGTTTGCTTTGGGTCTGTCTACCCACGTTCCATGAAGGAGACAAGAACTTTTAGGTAGCTGCTAGAAACTGGTGCTGCCAAAACATTTCCCCTCACACCCTGCTCTGCCAATTTTTTTTTTCTTAAATGGCACTGGGGATTGAACCCAGGGCCTTGTGCATGCTACACAAGCACTTTACCACTGAGCCATGTCCCCAGCTTGCTCTGTCAATCATGATGCCACCGTCTTCTGTGGACAACTCTTTGGAGTTTTGATGATGCTCTATTTAAAACCATTAGCTCTTCTGTCACTGAATTTCTCCTACAAACAACTGGCTTAGCCCAAAGCTTTTCACTGATGATGGGAGGGTAAAGGGTAGAAGCAAAAGTGTCATTAGATGGCTTTTTTTTTTTCTTTTGTGATAGGAAGTGGATCTGGTCCTCTGATAGTAGGATTTTGAGTTAATGGTAACAGATATATTATGGCTGTTCTTTTCCTTACTATAACTTGGGATGGGGAGATTATATTCTAACATTTCAGCCTTTTTTTAAGTGCAGAAAGGCAAGGCCAGCTGGTCAGTTCTTCCTCTTTGTGGATTTGGACATAAGACCAAAAGGCTTTTCCACATATGGCTGATGTAGCGCAGAAAGAATGTCTCGTGCAGCACAACTGGGGGACTGTTCCAACTGGCAGCAAACTTCAACGGATGGCCTGTTCGACTGCTGCAAAAGATAATGGTCAAGTACTTCTTTGGCTTTCAAATTCAAAGGTTAAATCCAATTCAATTAATGGGAAAACAAAGGTTTCACAAAAGTAGCAACACAAAAGATACCTGAATAAAAACAGCGTTTCATTCATTTCTGAATGAAAACAGTGTTTCTCTGGCTGGTGATGTGAACATCACCCTTTGGGTACTAAAAATGATGTGGGAAGGAGTGCAGGTTTGAAAGCAGTCTATTAGGTGGGGTTATCAGTTTTTAAAAATGGCGTTGTGTAAGCACATATGGAAATATCACAATGAACCCCCTATACAACTAATATGTGACAATAAAAATGTTTTAAAAAATGGTCTTGATTGGGCTGGAGGTGTGGCTCAGTGGTAGAGCACCTGTCTAGCAAGTGCAAGGCCCTGTATTCAAACCTCAGTACCGCCACCACCAGAAAAACCAAAAAACCAAAAAACCAAAAAAACAGGTGTTGTATCCTCAGGCAGGATCTCAGAGACTGCCGCTCACTTCAGCATGGCTCTGTGTTCTCCTCTGGCTATGTGAGATGAGAACTCGTATCGATCATGGCTGCGATATCCACACATGTTACATTCAAAAGGGTCACGGAAGCCGTGGCACCCCATGTGGATAGTGAACATCACATAATCCAGGAAGAGAACTCGGCAGTGGTCACATCGAAACACATCTATCACCTCCCCTTCTTTGTTGATTACTTTGATGGAGTCTCTTGAGCAAATTGGTGGGGGCTTGAGGAGTTCATAAGAACGGGGGACCTCCTTCAGAAGTGGCATCCCATTGCGGGCCCGGGGAAGGACCATGTGACTTTGCTGATAGATGTGATTCTGACGTTCTTCGTGGTTGCTGTCAGTGTCCGTGGAGTCAGGGCCACTATTGTTGGGAGACAGGCCTCTTTCGGAAGGCAGACTCTTCTCTGGCAGGTGGATGCTCTTTTTTTCCAGCTCCTGGGGGGCACCATTTGGCATCTCAGCCCGGGTGAGGGCTATGGGATACATGCTGCTGATGACTGGGACCATCTCAGAGGTGGGAGCAGGTGGGGTCTGAACTAGGGGGCGCAGTGCCTCAGCACCAAGATAGCTGATGGCATTATTGATGGCTTGGTCCATCATTCGGGTCTGAATGATCTCATTCTCCTTCTCGTACAGGTAGCTGGAACTGTAGTTGACGTCAAAGCACGGGCGCTTCTCACCTGGAATAGTGAGAGGAAGAGTTACAATGGGAACAGCACCAAGGCAGAGAGCATGTGAAGTTATTTTTCACAGTCCTCAAAAAGTATGGAAGGGTCAGCTGCTGTTGCTGCTCAACAGCACGAAGTCCCAGCAGTTGAAGTCTCAGGGGGTGCTGCTCATCAGTCACACATTTGGTTGGTCAAAATAAAGCCAGTGGGCAAAAGGGAGGGGGCAGAGATGTTATTACGTGACAACTACATTGTGAAGTGTGCCCACTGGAGAGAGGAGGAGGACAAGAACCAGGAGACACCAGGATGCAACTTAGAGGGGAGAGAGCTACCACTAGGCAGCGATTTGGAGCATCTGCACTTCCACTGTTGAGAACTCTTAAGGCACAGTTCTTCTCAACTCTTATTTGACTTGTTATTTTCTGTTTGTAATATTAGGTACCCAGAGGGCCGGAAGTGCTGCAAAGAGTGGGGATGCTCAGCAATTAGCCTCAGCAGCTTTTAAAATAGTTAACAGAGGTAGAGAAACTAGCCCCTCAAACTCCAACTTCCTACTCCCTAACTCACCAGCCACCTGTTGGATTGAGATTTGGAAGTAAAAGAGCTTCCAAATGTAGGCAGTTCTAGGAAAGCCTTCTGAAGGAGAGATTATGATTTTATCCCTTTCCTAAAGTGTGTTGCTCTGTTTTTTTTTTTTTTTTTTTTGAGATAGGATCTTGTTATGTAGCCCAGGCTGGCTTTGAACTCGAGATCCTATTGCCTCAGCCTCTTGAGTAAACTGGGATCAGGCATGTGCCACTATGTGTTGCTGTTCTTTGCCTGTAAGATGCATCCTAGATACACATGGGATACTTAGGACCTATCTCACACCTAACTGAAGACATTTATTTGTGGTCACCCTCTTCTACTTCTCATGTCAAGCTGAGAAATTCTGAAAACAGAGTTAGCCACCAGCAGGACGTGTGGGTGCTGTGTGTTAGAAAACACAGAGAGGCTCTCTGGCCACAGAGAAAGCAGGGACTATATCTTTGGCACCGTGGCTGGGAGAGGGATGAGAATGCATGAAAGATGGGTTAATACTGGATGTGAAGCTAAGGTCATTCTGTTGATCTTGGGCTCTGGAGAGGTTTGTTGAACCCTGTCCTTCTCTTTGGTAACACTTCCTAGACAAGTTGGAGTTCCAAAATCTGTCACTGCCATACAGCAAAGGGTTCAGAAAAAAAAGAAAATAATGCACAAGGAAACAAAAGAATTGGAAGGAGCAGTTCCTGTTCTTGAGGTGTCTCCTGTCTAAATACTATATATTTAAACACTAAGGGAATGCAAAAGTTCAGAAGGACTTAGGGGAGGGAAAGCATTCTTGGAAAATCAAAATTTGAGAAGACCTTTAATAAACTTGCCAGGTTTAGATTGTCCAAGAGGTAAGAGGAGACATTCTGGTTGAAGGGGGAGCAGAAGTGAAGGCAGAGAGGGGTACTGTGCAGGGAAAAATAAGAGTATGAAACAAAGTGTTTCTCAAACTTCACTTGTCCTCCACACTCTGCAATATCTGCACACCAGGGTAGTGAGTGGTTGAGAGAATGAGCTCTAGAGTCACATGGTTTGATACTGGCTTAATGGTTACTAGCTGTGTGATCTCATGTGAAATAGACACAGTAACTGTACCTGCCTCATAGGGCCACTGGAAAGTGTTTAGGAAAGCACCTGGCACTTAGACAACATTTGGTAAATGTCAGTTTTTTTCTTTATTTACTTGAATCAACTCATATTTTTTTCATTCCTTTTTTTTTGGTATTGGGGTTTGAACTTGGGGCCTCATGCTTGCTAGACAGACAGGCACTCAACCACTTGAGCCACATCCCCATCCCTTTTTGCTTTAGTTATTTTGGGAGGGTCTCCAGAGTTTGCCTGGGGCTGTCCTCAGATTATGATCTTCCTACCAATTCTTCTTGCACAGCTGAGATTACAGATGTGAACCACTATGCCTGGCTTCATATTTTCTTTCTTTCTTTTATTTTTTTCTTTCCTCCTTTTTCCCTTCCTCCCTCCTTTCTTTTTTTTTCTCTTTCTCTTTCTTTCCTCTGTGTCTTCTTCTTCTTTTTTTCCTTCTTTTTTTAGACAAAGTCCTGATCAGCAGCCCAGGCTGGCCCCAAACTCATGGTCCTCCTGTGATTTATAGGCATGTGCCATCATGCCTGACTAAAATAAAAATGTTCAAGGAAACTTTGTATCACTATCATAAATGGAAAACTAGAATCACCTGCCACAAATAGAAGGTAGCTATGAAAAACAAAGACAGAGAGATTTATTAAACATTGAGCAGATACTACAGTGAGGACTTGGAGATTAAGATTTTCTCTTTTGATTAAAAACAAAGATTACCCAGTTTGAAGTCAGTGTTAAAGACAAGTAGCACCAAATTAAGTCTGAATCTTTCTTCTTACTGTCATCAATTTCCTTGGGGATTAAAAGAGAACTGAAAAATAAATGATTTTCTTGCCATGTGGATTAACATTTTCAAATGCACTGTGTGCTTTCTGGCAGTTTGTATTCTATATTTTGGGAAACAATGAAGAAAAAAAAGAATACATGGTGGGACAAAAGGATGATGATTCTGAATGACCAACCATAGGGTTTACACTGGAATACACAGCAAATGGCTATGTGCCCTTGAGAAAGTGAGCCTTGTGGTCAGTGTAACAGCAATGTGTAAGATGGATGAGAACAGTAAGAAATTGAAGGCAGAAAGGCCAGCTAGAAGATCTAATCGAGTCAGATGGAGTTATCCTGCATCCCCACTACCTTAAGGTCAACCCAATAGTTTCTAGACAACTAGGGGACAAGGGGAGTAAAGAAAAATGCTGTATCTTGGTAACTCATTAGGAAGCCACAGAAATGTGTAACTTGGCGAAAGTAATTAATGGTTATTATTTTCAGCTAATATATATGTTTAACAGAGATTTATTTAGCAGGGCAAAGCAGGGAAAAATAGAAAGGGAGAAAGGAGCACCCCTAAACAAGAGGTGGGAGCAAGAGGCTCAAAAAATTGGGTATATCTCTTGATGAAGGCTGCCTGGAGAAATGACACTGAGAACAGGAAGGCCGCTAGTGGAGGTCACTAGCATTCATTCTCCTGGAAGTGACACAGGAGTGATGAAATTTGGTTCCTTGGCCTTTTCAAGGTTAATGATGATTTCTCAGTGTGGCGGACTCTTGCTAACCTCCCTCAATACCAGGAGTCACGGGGAATCTCCTTATCTTTTCACATAACAGAGAGGCTCCAGGAAATTTCTAGGGCAGGGTAGGCACATCAGAACCTCTGTTTTCATTCTTTCTCCCAAGGGTCTGCTGTTCTTATCCAGGCCTACAAATTCACAACCCATACCACCTGCAGCATATGTTAGAAAACAGCTGAGTGCGAAAGTGGTGAGAGGCAAAACATTAAGAAGAAAACTAACCTCTGGAAGAATGGAAATATGTGACTGAATTCTGTGGTTAACACAGACCATTGTTCATTGTTAAGATGGGAAGAGTGTCAGATCTTCACGTGCATGCAATTTTGCAATCATCAGATCCCCTCCTCTCCCAGTTACGGTAACTTGAGCAGTGCAGATGATTATCAGTCACCTGTAGACATGATGACTCAATGTGTATGAAACCCAGAAGGGGTTAGCTACAGTAATTGAAAAGCCAGCAGCTCACGTTTCTTTAGTAACACACTCATAAAAAAGGTTAGTCAAACCACAAGAGTATAACTGCTTCCAAAGCTGCTCGGAGACTCTAGTCCAGCTTCTAGTCAAATCACACCACACCTTTGCATGATTCATGATACCAGCTTCAGGCTGAAGAGATGTTTCTTCCAACGAAAACACGAATGGTAACAGCAAGTCCTAAATTTAGAAACTAAGGTTGCCTGGTTGGAATATTCCCTCCCTGAGAGTCTTTTTGAGGGTGTTGATCTCTAATATTTAGGCTTTGGTAACTCTAAGCTGAGCAACTGCCAACCTGAACTGATGCCATGTAGTGAGGGCACGTGACTGCTGGCTTCTAACTGCCAACTTGGAAGCGTAGAATCACATACTGGGCATGTACAGTCACACCTCTGTCTTTAGGGTCTAGAGTCAAGATTCACCACTTAATCCATTTATTTCTGGTCCTTTTATGTCACAGTACCCAGTGCTGTATATATAAGTATATATATACTTATATATATACATAAGAATACTACTGATCAGAGCTACTCTATATTAAGGCCCTACTGAATATATAATGCTATCCTAGATACTTTGTATATTATCTCGTTTTTAGCAGCCCTCAAGGATTAATACCTTTTGAGATACGGACTATCATCTCTTAGATGAAGAACCAAAGGCACAAACAGGTTGGATCACTTTCCAAGGTCATTCAGTTGGTGAACTGAGAACCAGGGTGCAATCCAAGAGTGCACATGTCTCAGCATATTTGGAGCATTGACTGCTGTGTCCTGGCAACTTCCTTGTCCATAGTGGCCCAACCCCACCGTTGTTGGTGACTTCAGATGCTCTGCTGGGGTGGTTCCTATAGCAGGGGAAGGCACTTAGTGGCTACAACTGCGTTTTTTTTTTTTTTTTGACACCAACTAGCACATACATTCAAGAAGTATTGATGACACTCAGAGTTGTAGTGATGTCGGTAAAGTGCTTAACAGAGTGTGATGCCCAGATTTGCTGTGATGTCTATAAAGTGTAGCCTGGCACAATTAAACACTCAAAAAGAGATAGACCTATTGTCTATGCTTTGAGAAACACAAACATAATTGCAGTCCAATAGAGGAGATGCAATAGTTACCTAATTTCATTACAAAGCAGCATTCTTTTTTTTGGCAGTACTGGAGTTTGAACTCAGGGTCTCATGCATGTTAAGCAGGCACTATTTCACTTGAGCCACTCTACAAGGCAGCATTCTTAATGCTATACTTTGGTAGAACAAAGCATAGAGTAGCCAAGAGAGTAGGAAGAGGAAACTATGAACCACTTCTCAAGGAGACTATGCATAGTATGGTGTACACATTAATCTCTTCTTTTTTTTAAAGACTCCTTGTAATCAGAGGTGGTATTGGTGGAGACAGTCACATCTACAGCAAGAATCCAACTATTGCACAAGCCTGGAGTACACAGCAGGAACAGGCAGTGGGAGGACCAGGGAGAGAGAAGTGTGGAACAATGTGTACCATTAAGTGCAGCTGTGAGGGAGGACAAGCAGACTGAGAACCTGGAAAGAAGGATTACATAAATGTAAGGAAAGAACAGAAGGCACGGTGCCTCATGCCTGTAATCCCAGCTACTCAGGAGGTGGAAGCAGAAGGATTGAAATTTTGAGGCCAGCCAGGCAAAGTTATCCAGACCTTATCTCAAAACAAAACAAAACCAAAAAAAACCCAAAGAGCTGAGGTTGTAGATCAAGTGGTAAAACACTTGCCTAGTAAACACAAGGTCCTGGGTTCAACCCCCAGTACCACAAATTAAAAAAGAAAGTGGAATGGAGCACAGAGAAGTGGGAGGAATAGTTCATTGAGGCTGAAGCAGAGGCCTAATTGGTGGAAATGCCAGGATTAGAAAAGGCAAGTGGTTTGGAGTTCATTCATTGGGGAGCCATTGAAAAGTATTTTTTGAGGAGGGAGGCAAAATGATTTGACCTTCAGAAAAATGGTACAATATTCCATTATGATAGTCCAATATTATAGTCACCATGATATGGGGAATTGGGAAATATTTAGGTTTTCTTTAAGTCTTTACATTTCTCATGTCACTTAAATGTGTTTGCCACTACTTCATATAATTTCCCATGTGAACTATCGCTTACCCTACTGCAAGCACATATCCAAAAAGAGAAAAAACACGGGTAAGCAGGGAAAATGGAATGTCCAGTGAAGGGGGTGGCTTGAATTTCAACCTAAGGGAGATTAAAACTACTCGCAGTTCTTCCAGGAAGGTGACCACCTTGATCTGAATCATACATCTGGTTTTTGGGAAAAGAATGAAAAGCTAGTCATTTTTCTCCTCCTTCTAGGAGAGAACTCTATCCTCCATTTTATTTATTTATCTATTTCTGTGGTCCTGGGGACTAAACCCAGGGCCTTAATGTGCTAGGCAAGTGCTCCACCACTGAGCTATATCTGTCTGGCCTCCACTTTGAGCTAAATATTTGAGGATGAACAAGTTTATAACAGGACAAGATTCAAAGAAAGGGTTAGGATATGAAAAGTAAGTTCTCATCTTTTGGAAAGAACTAAATTATCCTGATGCCATAAAGATATATGTATATATATATATATATATATTTCTGATGAATTTGCATCAGTATATTTCCCATTTGACACAAAGTGGTACAAAACTTCATGAATTAGAAAAAACAGGGCTGGGGGTGTAGCTCAAGTGGTAGAGCACAAGCTGACCTCAAACCCCAGCAGCGCCAAAAAGAAAATTAGAAAAAACATTTTATTTTTCTCCTGTGTGGGCCATTTACTCTTGTTAATAAGAGTTTTTGGTTTCCAAATGCATGTAGACTTAATTCAATGTGTCCCTCTTCCCCAGCTCATTGCTAATAAATGAAATTGCTACCCACTGGCAATCATCTCTGCCAGCCAGAGAGGAGCAGGCTGGCTGGGGGGTACAATTTCACCTTTGCCCTCACAGTTGAAGAGGTCAGGGCAGCCAAGGCTGGTGTGAGTGCGGTGTGGCCTCAGCAAGGATTAAAGGGAGTAAGTGACTCACTCTTCACACCTCACCCAGTGCCATTTCTCTGGCAGGTGAACTTTTTCAGAAAATGGTGCCTTGAAGAGGAAACGTGGGAGAGAGAAGAGAGGAGAAGGAAGAGGGAGGAAAACATTAGCCCCAGGTGTTTTATATCACTTCATCTCATACACTGCACAGTGTCACAGATAACCTCTTTCTTTCTTTTTTTTCTTTTTTCTTTCCCTTGACACAACTGTTTTTTATCAGAAAGGTCGATTCAGTTAAATGATTTGGGGAGTTTCTTTTAAAAAAATATCTTAAACAAAGGTTTGGGATGTAGGAAATGCTAGAAGATTAGAACAGTGCTCAGAACAACAGTACCATGTATATGGGACAGGAGCTCTTAACTGTTCATGTGAAGAACGAATGGGACAAGTGAGCAAGTTGTACAGCGCAGCCCTCAGTAAAATATACGGTGTTGAGCTAACACAACAATTTCTTTTAGAGTCTCAGATTTGACCTCCTCCTCAGATTGACAACAGGGCCTTGGCAGTCATTTGATCTTTTTTATTTATATTTTTTGGTGGTACTAGGGTTTGAACTCAGGGCCTCACGCTTGCTAGGCAGGTGTTCTACCATTTGAGCCACTCTACCAACTAGATTCTCAGATTTAATATTTTCCTCAACAACAACAAACAACCCCTGATGGTGTAACTCAGTGGTAGAGCACTTGCCTACCATGCTCTAGGCTCTGAGTTCAATCCTCCAAACAAAAAGATCCCCCTCAAAACATGATATGTTTTATAACATAAATGGCCTATCTGTAGAGCCTCCAGAGAAAAGTTACCTGAAGTTACATACACAAGTTCTAAAACACAAAGTGGTATTTGGCACTGATGCCTGGGATTTCTAATTCATCTTACAGACTCATACATGAGAGCAGCCTTCCTGGTTATTTTATCATCTATTCAAACTCCTTATTTCACAGATACAAGTAAACAGAGGCTAAGATTATATGATTTGTCTAAACACATACAGTTAAGAAATGACAGAGGTAGAATGGAACTTGGGTCTTTTGGCTTCTGATCTGTTCTTCTAGTTGAGCTACATCATAATTAACAAGCAACAATAACAAAAAAAGTCCCCAGCTATTCTGGGCCCGGCAGCCCTGAAGCTGCTACCTCAGTTCAAATCAAGAGCTAACTCTGCTAGGTTTCTGATTCCAGCACAAAGAGAACATGATCATTCAAAAATGAGAGAAAGCACCTCCAAGGTCAGCATCTGTGGCTTGTCTGGAGATGGAGGAGTGAAACCCTGCAGTCAAAATGGCAACAAACTGTAGGATCCCTGAGGCAATAGGAAGAACCATATGGATCAGGACATAGGAAACATGTTGCATTTTCAAGTCCATTTTTGACTCAACTATAGGTTAAGGACAGCTGTGAGTACTAGGTTCCCTCTCTCAAATTTTTCCTCTCTCAAGGAAAACCTTTATTTGGTTTTCTTTGCCCATTTCTCCCCAGCATCCCTTTTCCATATCAGCTTCAACCATATCTAGAGTCAAAACTTCCCCAAATTAAAATACACTCATGTCAAAGAATAACAATCCAAGCTTTATTTTGTACTTCAGTCAGAACCTCTTCACACAGGCAAAGGTCAAAAGATATACTGGCAGTGTTTTAAGACAATGTCTCAGAATCCTGATTGATCCACGGGGTCTAATTTCTCTGTAGAAGTCACCACAGGCCCCATGACATTTCTCCAAGGGGAGACCAGGGCTGGGAGGGGTGAATCTCCCTAAACTGTAATACACCAACTTCAGTATGACACAATTTATTGTTAAAGTGACTAAAAGTGTAGAAAAGCTTTTCAGCTAATAAAGACAAAATAAATAACCCAAAATTGGTAAATTCGAAGTCTATAGGTTCTTTTTAATATACTCTGTAATTCACACAGAATGTCTGTTTGTAAAACCACTAGCTAAACCAGAATAAAATTTAACCAGATTTAAAACCAGGCAGGCACTTGATATCCATTGAAAAGGATAAGGACTGACGTAAAAATCAACAACAGCAAGCAGCTTTGGAAAAAGATATTGGACAGGTTTCTAAAATACTGGTGGTGAGGATGGTTTATTATTGTGTTCAATATCACGAACTTTCCATTTATAATAAAACTGATACATTCAATTCAGCTGTCAAATTCCTAACTACAAATCTATTTTAAGAAGCATGGTCATATGTATAGAAACATCTGGGAGAGTACAGCAAAATATCCCTGCCATTTGGAAGTCCTAACACTTTAATGAACATCATTATTTCTTAGTCATCTCATTCTGCTGTGGGTTTTGACAATGTGAAAACCTATGCCATAAAAATTAACTCCAGTAAGACAAATGATTAAATCAAACTGTAAATAACACAGCTTGCCCAACCACTTTCTGTTAAAGCAGTTCTCAATCAAATTCAAGAATATAAGGCAATATGTTTTAGAACATGAAGAAAGTTTGAGCGTGCTAACAGAGCCAACTTGTAATATATAATTACAAAAGATCACAAAGATGCTATCTTGAACATCTTACTAGTGTAAGTTGCATAAATTCATACAACATATGTCTTTTAGAGTTAAGAGGAAGGAACAGCATTTTAAACACCAATTCCATTTAGGAAACTGAATACCAAATGCTTCCCTCTTCTGTTAAGATTCTTCAGTTAATATTTTTATTCTATATACTAGGGTCATCAAAATGAATCACAAAGAATAAAAGTGTACAAGGGAAACCAACTACCTTGTTTTAACAGAGGCTAAACTAGAAAGGGCCTGTGTAGTAAGCATCTACATGTTATCTCATTCAAACTATCTGCTAACAGCAGCAGGAAAAAGGTTTGCGTTCTTACCAATGAATTTCTGAGGCATTGAGCTTTTTCGTTTTGCCACATTGCTTGCTAATCTGTCCAGGACGAGAGCTCTTTCACTTCCCATCTCTGTTTTGATGTGTCTTGCCTCCGCACTTGCTGGTTTGGAAAAATATAAAAAGAAGAAGGAAAAGAACACATTGGTAAAGAGAGAGGAAAGGAAATCATCTGAGAGGAGGAGTGTCCAAAGTTCCAAGAGCTCTCTATTGTCCTTACCTGTAGTTACTGCTCAAATTCCTGCCCTGGGTACCTGCGGTGGTCAGTGAGGCCAACACCAGGGCACATTCAAATGTTGCAGTCTGATGCTGACATGGGAAAGCCCGACCCATCCCCAGCCAGTACCTTCATGAGCAAGAGGAAGTATTGAAGAAACAGCCTGGACGTGGTTGGTTGCAAAAAGATAGATGGGAGATCTTCTAACCCCCATCAGCCTTCTTTCTGATTCTGAGTAACTGCGTATGACACCTGCACACTGATATAATTCTTCTTAACAACTTTGAAAAAAAAAAGCATGGTGCCCCAGATTTACTGTTCTGTTTATGTTAATAGCACTTTTGAAAATAGACACACTCACCCAGATAGCAAGAAATCTACTCAGTGATTTGTGTATTGAAATTCTGACTGCTTTGTTTTTTTTTTTCCAGCATGTTCCTCTCAGTTCCTATCTTTCTATTTCTCTGGGCTCTGTGTGATCTGTTTCATGTGCTCTTCACATTTCAAAACTGTCTCAGTTAAAATTTCCCTGAGCCACACTGCTGTCTTCAAATTAAAGAACAATTTGTATAATGCATTTCTATTATACTTCTAATGAAAAATGTGAATCAAAACTGCTGAAGAATGTGGGCTAATTGCCGATCCACAAATAGACATTTGAGTGGCACAGGCTTGCACTTCTCAGACCTTGGTTACTCAGTAGAATTGCCTGAAGAGTATGTAAAAATATACCTATTCTTAAGCCCCTCTCAGATTAATGAAATCAGGCTATCTGGCAGAGGGGCCTAGGCAACAGTATTTTTGAAGCTCACCAGATGATTTTAAAAAGCAGCCAGAAGAAGAGTATATAAAAAGCATCAATATCTAATTCACTAAAATGGTAAATTGGAATAAATATAGTATAATCTACTGTAGTACAGCGGGTAGTACCCAATGAGACACTAGCTACGCTAGATATAAGGCTTGAAACTTTAGCATATGATGCTGGCCAGGGATCAGCAAACTGTTTCAGGCCAGGTAGTAAATATTTTGTTTATTTATTATTTAATTTTTTTTTGTCTTGCTATGTAGCCCAGGCTGGCTTCAAACTTTCAATCCTCCTGCCTAAACTTCCTGAGTGTGTACACTATTGCACCCAGTTTGGTAGTAAATATTTTAAAATCTGTGGGACAAATACAGTCTTTATGTGGGGTGTGTGTGTGTGTGTGTGTGTGTGTGTGTGTGTGTGTGTGTTTTCTGCCTTGCATCTCTTTAAAAATATAAAAACCCTTGTACACAAACAGGCTGCTGGCTGTATTTGGCTTGAGGGTCATGGTTTGACTATGCCTACTCAAAGCAAACATACTGTGATACTATAAACATTTCTCTTTGCTTTATCTAAGCATTTCAGGAATCAAAAATAAAATGAAGTATCCAAATATTTCTAATGTCTTTAAGAAAGAAGAAATTGAAATTAGTTTAAGGGACTAGAGTAAAAAGCAAGTGGTGACTACAGAATGGAATTTCACCCCAAATATATACATAGATTTGGGAACTGTCAGTGTTTATTCTGTAGTTGAAGGGTATGCTGTGTTTGCTGTGTGAAGAAGTTCTGACACATAGAAATAATGTCACAAATTCCAGAACCACAAGTGAAAATGCCCAGAGAAAAGAAAGCTGCCCACTTTTGCAGTAAATGAATGACAAATAAAAACCTCCAGGGCAAGACTGTCAAGTATGGCCAGGGAAGAACCAAGGCCTAATTAGAAAAGTATAATTCAAAGCATTAATGATTTTTCGTTTTATTACTAGCATTAAAAAATGTCTATACCAGGTATTATACATTATAAAACTGTGGGGGTCTCTTTGTTTTGTTTTGCTTTTTAGATTTAGGAATAAAAGGAAATCTGGCTCCAAAAATGAATAAAAGAAGATGGTGACAGTAACAATATTTACTAGACTTTGACTCTTGGTAAAAATAATTCTAGGCTCTAAAGAAATAGATCATTGCTTCCAGTCTAAGTTGTTAACAACTTTATGTAATTGAAAACAATAAAGGTCAAAACAAGGGGCCCTGGCAGCTTTTTGGACTAGTGGTAAAGTCCTTGGACTTTGACACTTGGTGACAGGACACTGCAACTGAGTGAAGTGGGTCAAATTCTGTCCAGCCTAGGGATGGGTTAAATGACCAAACAGGAAACTATTATATATATATTATTTCCTTTCACAGAAACCACCACCAGATGTGGCACTACCCAAAGTCCCAAGAACAGAGAGATGAAAGACAAAGCCTGAAATTTGAATTAAGTTCCTGAGGCTGTTACAAGGAAGCTTTTTCATAAAAGCAGGGGAAAGGCAGCTGAGTTTGTGCTTTACCTGGGAACATTAGTTCTGGTTTGAGTAATTCTGAGCGAATTTAATCCAATTATAGCTGCCCCCAACTCAGCATTTATTATCAAAAAGGTTTATTTTGAAATAAGAACGAAAAATCACACTTTGGGAATTTTTACCTTTTACCCCAACTTTACCACTATCCTTATTAGTCTGTTTCAGTCCCTCCCCTCATGGTCAAATCATAACCTAGGACTTACCGCAAGCATTATGCTGCCTGCCTTGTTTCCCCACTGTCTCTCAGCAGTCACTGCCTATATTTGACCAGAGTCACTACCAATGACAACAAGCAGCTTTCAGAGGACACGTAATCAACAACCTCTACATTTGGGAGGATGATGAAGTGTGGACACATTGACCTAAATAATCGTAATTAGGGCATGCCACTAAATGGCAACCTTCTGAGATAACATCACCTTTCATTCCTGGTTACCCACCAAGCTGGTCTTGACAGTCATTTCAGACAAATCTTACCCTGTAAATCAGTGACCAAATGCCTGACATTTAAGAAAATAAAGTCCCAGAGTGCTCATGGGTGGACAGATAATTTGAGGCAGAGATGGAAACTTTCCCATTTCCATGCCTCAGTTAAATGGAAAGAAATCCTCAGAAAGGAATCTAGAGGCCTCTCATTCCCTTGCACCCTGTCCCTCGATCGCTCACTCAAAATACCATCTGCAACATCCTACCCCCACTATACGTGGGACCGTATTCAGGGGTTCAGTTCATCTTTACGTTAACTGTTTTCTTTCTTTTTCTTTTCTTTTCTTTCTCTCTCTCTCTTTTTTTTTTTTTGGTGATAGTGGGGTTTTAACTTAGGACTTTGTGCTTGCAAAGCAGGTGTTTTACCACTTGAGTCACTTCCAGTCCATTTTGATCTGGTTATTTTGGAGATGGGGTAGGGGAGGGTCTCATGAACTATTTGCCTGGGCTGGCCTAGAACTTCTGTCCTACCTGATCTCAGCCTCCCATGTAGCTAGGATTACAGGCGTGAGCCACCTGTGCCCAGCATTAACTGCTAATTGCAAGTTAGGCAAAGGTATGCACTCTCATTTTCTTCTCTAAACTGCTAGCCTTTTGCCTTGCAATTGTTGGACAACTGAGGCACCAAACCACTAAATGAGCACCCTTTTAAGCATATAGTAATATTTTGGAGTTGGACAATCTCTTTGCGATTACTCTAGAAGAGTTTAGGCAGTGCACTGAAAAAATAAAATAAAAAAGAATATTAGCTTTTGGTCCTCTGCTCCATCTTTAGGACCCAATTATCCATTTATACAAACAGTCTAGACTTGTTATCTTGCCACATCATGTCTCAGAAATGTACGTGGAGGGAAACCAGTCTGGCAAGATAGTAAGGGAACAAGATAATGGGTTTAAAAAAATGATGAAATAGGAAATCCGTTCCTAGGTGGTGTTTGGCGGTTTTTAATGTTGCAAGGGGTGGGTGTGGGGAATACTGGATGGGGTAAAGAACAGTTTGCACATTTGGTTCCTAAGTGAGCACAGAAGGAGCAGGACTGTAATTCTGGATCAATTTCCTTTTATGTCACTTGCCTGCTATTTAACCAATAAATATCAATTTTCATTAGCCAAGTGATTTTAAAGACATATTGAAAAATAAATGGTAATAAAATATAACTTTAAAAAAATCACAATTACAGAATAGGTCACTACCTTTATTCCCTGCATATGCCTTAACTGTTTGTTAGTCAACTGTTTCTATGAATGCAATTTTTATCTCAAAGTGATAGTAGATTTAGTTATGTAATGGTGTTTTGTTTTTGTTTTTGTTCAAAATGAACAAAAGACCTAATGAAGGCATTAGGTCTTAAAGTGTTAAATGGAGCTTAAATAAAAGGCGTTGCTTCCTGTCTCTCCCACATTATGGTCAGTCAGCAGCTAATAGAGAGTGGAACAAAGGAGTGTCATTGTGCAAAAAGAATTGTCTAACAAAAGATTCCTATCAAAGACTCAGACAGGTTCTAACAAAAAACTTACATAAAACTACTGCTTTTTTGAGCAAGTAAAATGAATACTGCTTGTCGGGAAAATAGACTTAAATTTTTTAAAACTTTTAAAAGAAAAAGTCTGTTACATTGCTAAAAATCTAAGTTTATTGTGAAAGTCTCATGTTTGCATTAGCTCACCTGAAACAACTAGCATGAAGATGAAAAGTTTTGACTTGTAGATTCTTAAGTAAATATTACTATCCAATTACTTAAAAAATCTTATTATTGCTAGAACTGACTGTTATACAAAAATATGTTTGGCTCCAAATATTCATAATTTGTGTGAATGAGGTTAAATGAATCTTTAAAAATACCTATGCATGCTTTTTTTGTGTGTGTGTGGGATAAGGTTTTGAACTCAGAGCTTCCCACTTCTAAAGCAGGTGGTCTACTGCTTGAGCCACAATTCCAGTCCATTTTGCTCTGGTTATTTTGGAGATGGGGTCTCACAAACTATTTGCCCAGGATTGGCCTTGAACTGAGATCCTCCTATCTCGGCCTCCCACGTAGCTAGGATTACAGGTATGAGCCACAGGTACCTGGATGTTTGTCCTTTTTTTAGAATAAAGATCACACTAATGAGAAAATGAAGGTCCATGGTCTTCTATCTATACTTCTCATCTATACTTAGACAACAGAACTAGAATATTTTGATGATGTCCCTGGTGATACCTGGTAATAGAAACTTGGGCTGAAGTTGCAATAGCTCATGCATCTCTATTAGACACCTCCATTATACTAATAGATAGTGTGTCTGGATGGATTGTGAGTTCTTCAAGGGCAGGACTTAGCTTTTACTCATTTTTGCAAACAATTCTAACATCGACCCTGGTACATATAGAACTCAACAAATATCATCTGAATAAAAGAAGATGATTAGCAAGGCCAGAAGTCCTGTCACACAATACCTGTGTTCTCTTGGAGGCTGGTCTTCACTCCAAGGTCTTTTCATCTGTCTACTTCCAGAAAAGTTCTGGAGGCAGCTTTATCTCCAGGCTTGGTGCTCCCATTTCTCCCCTTTCCCCTATCTCCCCTCGCTGTCTCTTTCCTCTTCCCTCTCTCTCCTACCCCTCTCCTCTCTCTCCCCTCTCCTGCCCTGTCCTTCTCTCACATGGGGTCTTGCTACAACCTAGGCTGGCCTTGAACTCAAGAATCTCCTCACTCATCCTCCTGAGTGCTGGATTACAGGTGTGTACCACCATGCCCAGCTGCATTTCAATTTAAATACTCACTTAATGTACTAGTGCAATATTCAGTGTGGCAATTTGGAACAGCATCACTTTAGAGGTGAGAAATGAAGACATCAGATGTAATATATTGGTCAAGCTTAGAATGGAATCCTATACCCACACTGGATTCCCAATTATGAGAAGGAAAGAGAAATGCAGGGAACAGTGTCAATAAAGGATTGGCTAGTGTTGGTTTAAACATTCTTTACATTTTAATCTCAGAAAAAAAATCATAAGAATTACCTTAAACATAAAAGATAGGGTAATATATTACTGACATGTAGTATTTATACTTGATTAAGCTGTGACCTTACCCATTTTGTAACCTAAAACCACCATTACAACATATTTGTTTTTTAAAAAAAATCAAAACTTGCTGACTTGGTTAACCCTTTAGTTTTTTGCTGAGACTTCAGGTATGTTGCACGCATTCATCAAACCGCCCTATGACATGCAAATTAATTCAACCTCTATATTTCAGCATATCCTGAATCATTTAAAACTATTGAAGATAGCTAAAATGTTTCTTTTGGTACTTTTCCTAACTTCAAATTCCTAAAAAGGTTGTGAGAATGGAAAGTAAGGTGGTAACCTCACTTCAAAATCAATAATTTATTTGTTGTATGTAGAGTATAATTTATTGATTTCTTCCCCATTTGTAGGAGAATCAACACACACACACACACACACACACACACTATGTGTTATTATACTTCTTTTGCTAACTAGGTAATATGTAACCTTTGAAAAAGATAGCTTATCAAGCCCAAAAGTGGAAAAAAGTGAAAAAAACCCTTAAATATCCATTAACTGATGAATGGATAAAAAGAATGTGGTAAATCCGTAAGATGGAGTATTATTCATCCATAAAAAGGAATGAAGCACGAATACATGCCTCAACATAGATGAACTTCAAAACCATCATGCTAAGTGGAGGAAGCCAGCCATAAAAGGCTACATATTATGTGATTCCATTTATATGAAATGAATTTATATGAAATGTCTAAACCCATAGATAGAAAGTAGATTAGCAAGTTGCCAGGGGATGGAGGGAGGGAAGTGGCTGGTGGTGGGTATAGGTTTCATTTGGGAGGTATAAAGTGTTCTGGAATTAGATATTAGTGATGGTTCTACAACTTTGGAAACATACTAAAGACTGTTGAATTGTATACATTAAGAAGGTGAATGTTATGGTATGTGAATTATATCTCAAATTTTTTAAAAATAAAAAATATGGCCAGTCACAAAAACTACTAAAGTGCTAGTCATTTTTAAGCTAGTCACTGAACTTTGACATATGTCAATTTCCCACCCCTAAAAACAGGAGGTAGGATTAGATGCTTTCTTTCATCCTTCCAACTTTAAATATTGTCAGTTCTATTTGGTAGATGGTGGATATACATCACTTGGGAATTTCTCACACTTTGCCTATTGTCTGAAATTCAAAACTGTAGATAAAGATGCCTATGTTCTGTCCTTGGACAAGTACTGCCTACCATTAAAGCATGTCAAAACCCTAGTTTTAGCTTGTATTTATTTATTTTTTTTAAAGGGAGTAAACATTTCTCTTTAGAAATAAGGAGGAAATCCAACTCCTTCATAAAAACTAAAGATGCCATCAGGATAAAAAGCAGAAGCAAGTTGCAAACCAACGGAATTCAGTTGGCCAGCTCCTAACACCATAAAAAAGCCTTTATCTAAAAAGTTTCCTCTCACTTAAAACGGGGACAGTTTAAATGCTCATGATTTCCACTCCATTTTGTCTGAATTTCCCATTATTTCTGTGATATTTTTGTACTCCTTCTGCTTTATACTGTTCAAACTATTCAACTGTAACTACTGCTGTCAAACACCAAATCCCTGAAGGATTTTTATCTATTCTAAATAAGCACTTGGTACACCTAAACAGACAAAAAGGTTTTCACCCCAAGCTGGGGAACAGGACTAAGAGTCATCTGGATGATGCAAAGAACTGCAGAAATACAACACAAAAAAGTTTCAGGTTGTTTCAACTAAAAGATGAGAAAGAAATAAAACCACAATTAATCTAGGGAAAGGCATGAAGTGTTTCAACCAGTGGCCAGTAGGCATACAAGTCAAATGACTGAATAACATAGGAAATCCCCAACCAAATATAAACATTGCAATAAATCACATGAGCAGACAAGGATATGACTGAGGTACAAAGAAAAATCCTTGTAGTTTTAACCAACTCTCCTTAGCCACTCTCCAACTTGTTCTACCCTCAGTCTTTGCCATTTTAGTAAGTGGAAATTTTATTTTTCATCACATCCCACATCAAACTATTAGGAAATCGTGTTGTCTCTTACCTTCTCTCCAACCACAACCCCCTTTTACTGGCTACTTGCCAGGGAGGTGCTCAATACTTGAGCCATGACACCAGCCCTTTTTGCTTTACTTATTCTTTTTCAAAAATGATTTTTTATAACCAGGCCAGCCTGAACACAATCCTTCTTCTTTTTTTTTTCCACAATCCTTCTTTTATGCTTTCTATATAGCTGGAATGACAGGTGAGTACCACCATGCTCATGCTCTTTTTATTGGTTAAGATGGGTCTTGCCGTTTGATAGGGTCTGGCCATGAACCATGGTCCTCCCAATCTCTACCTCCCAAGTAGCTAGGATTATAAGCATGAGCCACTGAGTGAGGCTCAAATATATAAACACAATCACAACACTTCTCATCATCTCTATCACTACCAAGACACAACTTTATCTGGCTTGAATTCTTGTAATGGGCTTCTAACTAGACTACCCAACTTCTAACCTTGCCCCAGGTACAATCTATTCTCAACAGCAAATAGAATGATTCTTTTCAAATGAGAACATCTCTTTGTGTTCAAAACCATTTAAAGATTTTCAATTTTACTCAGAGTAAAAGCCAAAGTCTTTACCATAGCCTACAAAGATGGACAAGATCTGCTTTCTCATTTTCTCTCTGGCTTCATGTCCCATTACTCATTCTGTTCCAGCTACAGGGGACTATTTATACTTCTTCAAGTTTGAGCCTCAAGGTCTTTTCACTTGCTGTTTCTTCATTATCTGCAGGGCTCACTCCATATACCTTGAAGTCTGTTAAAATATCACCTTCTGAAGCCTTCCCTGACTCCTCACCTTCAGCCCTCAACACCTGCTTAATTTTTCTCCGTAGCATTTACTGCCTTCTGACACTTTTTTTTTTTGGTGGGACTGAGGTTTGAACTCAGGGCTTTCCACTTGCAAAGCAGGTGCTCTACTGCTTGAACCACACCTCCAGTCCATTTTGCTCTGGTTATTTTGGATATGGGGTCTCAAGAACTATTTGCCCAGGCTGGCCTGGAACCATGATCCTTCTGCTCTCAGCCTCCCAAGTAGCTAGGATTACCAGCAAGAACTTTTTCTTGTGGTGTCATTTTATTAGCATCATATCCCAACACCTTCAAGGGCAAATGCTCACTGAATGTGTGCGAAGTGACTGCTATGGAACTCACCAGCGTCCCCCAGATCAGAGCTCTGAAGAAATGTGCGGCAGCGCTCCTTGTGCTCCTCCAGGGAACTTCTCTGCTTGTAACTCCTTCCACAGAACTCACATTTGTAGGGTTTCTCCACTGGAAGGAGAGCACAGGGGGTCACTCAGTAATTCTTAGAGGCTACAGGGGCTCCCTCCAGATGATGTACTGGAATTCTCTGAAAACTGTACACTAGGAATGAGACTGCTGGCCAAAGACAGAGTGCTTGGATGCTTGTGAACTCTGTTATTTTTAAATTTAGTAAGCTGAAATAAGGCCATAGTCTATGACTATTATTACTATATTTTTTGTGGGAATGGAGTTTGAACTCAGTACTTTGTACTTGCAAAGCAGGTGTTCTATCACTTAAGACACACCTCTACTCCAGTTTTGCTCTAGCTATTTCAGAGATGAGGGTCTCACAAACTATTTGCCTTGGCTGGCCTTGAACCAGAATTACAGGCGTGAGCCACCAGCACTATTACTATTATTGTGCCAGAGTATTTTTCAAAAGGATCACCCCTCTTGTCACAGATGAAAGGCTTTGGATTTGATGATTCCCATTTCACATAGTGTTTGGCTTCAGGTTAAATCTTATTTCTTCTTGTTTAACAACATAGGGCTTTTTTATTCCTCAGAGAGGTTAATGTGGTATAAGAAGACATAGGATGGGACTCTGTTTTGTGACATCCATCTGGCTGTAAGTAAAGACTGCTAGTACAATTTGTGGGAGTTACTGTTAGAACATCAAAATGTTTGGATTATTTTAAATGCATCTCATTCTTGTCAAAGTGACTATAACGAAGTTTGGGCTAAAACAATAAAAACTGAGCTAATCAACTAAGGGTATTTTTGAATAATAGAATTAAAAGTGAATTGCAAAAATGACCTCATCTAAATTTCCAAGATGAAGCAAAAATTTCCTCATAAATTCATCAATGCAATTCAGATAACCTTTATCTTTTCAACTCCCATGTAAGCAATAATTTCAACTCTTTGTGCAAGACTGGTTTTTCTGATTTGTAGATACAATAATACCATAAAAATTTGTCAGAGTTTTAGGGACTGAAGTTTTTAATTTTTTTTCTTTTGAGGTGCTGGGGGTCAAACATAGCCCACTGTGCTTGCTAGGTAAGGGGTCTACCCTTGAGCTATAGCCCTTTTCTGAAATTTTTATTTTCTAGCTACTTTTGTTCTGCTTACAAACAGAGGCTTTGGGATTTGAAGCATTAAAAGATCCTTATGAAATCCCAAATTAAAATAAAATGCAGGTTTGCTAACAATGTTACATTTCTACATAAATTGGAGTCCTCTAGAATTTGTCTTAAAATGCCTATTATTATTTTTTTCTTGCTTGAACAAGGCAATAAAAGAGAACTACACTATGTTTTTTGGATCAAACTCATCCTTAATTCATTACTTTGTGAAAGGAGCTATAAAAGAAAGAAACCCTCTCTTTGCCATGTACTGTTTGGTGGGTTTTGCTGGGGTTTACTTGTTTAATCCTAGTCTCTGAATTGTGACCAGTTTTGAGGTTGGGTCTAGGTTTTAGTCAAAGCAGTAACGGGGTTGAGATAAAAACAACCCCCCCTTTTTTTTCAATTAAAATTTTGCCAGATAACATCAAGAACATGAGGTGCCAAATTTGAAAATAAAAGCAGACTTTTTTTTCTAAGAGGGAAATTCTAAATGGTGAAAAAAAATGTATCATCTTGCTTGGTCAAAATAAGGAGTAAAAACATGAAGAGAGCACATTTTTTATGAGTATTTATTGTTATACATATTTAAAGATTAAAAATAAGTAGGCTGACTAAGCCAAAAGTTGGGTTTAAGAAATTTAGTCCAGAATGGCCAAAAAGGACCCTCAAACAATGATTTACACTTTATTTACAAGTTTTTATTTTATTTTTTGGCAGTACTGGAGTTTGAACTCAGGGCCTTGCACTTGCCTGGCAAGTGCTCTACTACTTGAGCCAATGCCTTCAGCCCTGGTTTACAGTTTGTATCATTTATAAAATGTACATTATTTGCTTGTCTGGTCTTGTAAATGGAAAATGTGTGTGTGTGTGTGTGTGTGTGTTTTAGGAAAACAATCTTTTAACAAGGTTTACCATAAGAAAATATCAATGGCTATAATAGTCTTACAAAAATTAAAAAGGCATTTTTACAGGGCAGGTTCTTCCTATCTGACTGTTGTTTTCCAAGCACAAGGATGTTGAGTCTCCACTGAGGCAGACAGAGAGCAATTAATGCCTTAATGGAAGTGCAATTAGCCCTAGAGGTCTCTTCTGTTGCAACCCTTCAAAATGGGAATGACAGATTCAAGCCTCCACTTTTAACGCTTTCTAGTTTCCACACAGTTACTACATATGGAATGCTCATGTCCCTCACTTACCAGAATGTGTCCTAAGGTGCCCCGTGAGAGCATCTCTCCTTTGGCAGGCGTAGTTACAAAGGTGACACTTAAAAGGTTTTTCCCCTGTGTGCAGCTTAATGTGGCGGAGGAGGTTACCTTTTTGAGTAAAAGATGCCCCACACTGATTACACTGGAACGGGCGTTCACCTTTAGAAAAGACGAAAAAGATTTCTGGTTACCAGGCAAGTGGAAAAGTATGCACAGATTAGGTCCTTATGGCAAAAGGTCATCTTGTGGATGGTTCTGTCCACAGTGGGATCACTTGGGAGCTGCATTTCCAGGAACGTGTAAGATTTACTTTGGGATCTTCCTCACAGAAAAGAATGAGCTAAAGAGCTCAGCAAGGCTGTTCTAGGTATCATCTTGTCTTGAATCAGAGCAAAGAAAACAAGAGTAGCTTAGGAGAGCGTTCTAAATGTAGGTTTTTTTTTTTTTTGACATTCTTTTTGAATATAATCTGCTTTGAAAAAAGACTGGGAGACTCAAGTCCTAATAAGGTGTTCCTTAACATCTTAGTAGCTAGTAATGCTTCTTTTTTTTGGGGGGGGGTGGGTACTGGGACTTGAACTCAGGGCCTTCACCTTGAGCCACTCCACCAGCCCAGTTTTTTGTGATAGGGTTTTTGGAGATAAGGTCTCTTGAACTATTTGCCTGGGTTGGCTTTGAACTTTGATCCACCTGATCTCTGCCTCCTGAGTAGCTAGGATTATAGATGTGAGCCACTGGTGCCTGGCAGAAATGCTTCTTTTTAGAGTTTTCATATCAGATATCAGATGAAATCTATTCGCTTAGTCAGATTGCTGTATATATGCCTTCCCACGGGCTGCCTGCTTATTGTCTGAAGATATATATATATATATATTTTTGGTGGCACTGGTGTTTGAATCCAGGGCCTCACACTTGCTAGGCAGGTGCTCTTACCACTTGAGCCACTCTGCCAGCCCCTTTTGTGATGGGTTTTTTTGCGATAGGGTCTCATGAACTATTTGCCCTGGACTGGCTTTGAACTGCAATCCTCCTGATCTCTGCCTCCTGAGTAGCTAGGATTATAGGTGTGGGCCACTGGTGCTGGGCTTGAAGATACATTCTTTAAAACTATATCCTTTCCTCTACCAAAATTGAACCCAATATAGTAAGGAGATCTGCTTTTATTTAAAGTGTAATAGAAAAATAGGTAAAAGATGTCTAGGAAGCAAATCACACTTCAACTCCTACTTATTAACTGAAGGAAAAATATTTGGATGACCTAGAGCACTGTGCTCTCCACAGTCTCATTTTTTTATTTATTTATTAATGGCATTTGTAATACGTTTGTCAAATGCATGGTGAAGTAGTAAGTAAAAATACCAGAATTATAGCAAAGATCAACGGAAGTAATCCAAGACTCTTAAGTTTTTTTGCTTTTTTTTTTTTTTGAGTACTGAGGTTTGAATTCAGGCCTCCATACTTGCTAGGCAGGTGCTGTACTGCTTGAGTCACACTCCCAGTCCTTTTTGTGCTGGTTTTTTTGGAGATAGGGTCTTGCTTTGCCCAGGCTGGCCAGGACCAAAATTATGCTTCCTGCTGTTGCTGGGATGACAGGTGCATACCTTAATGCCCAGCTATTGGTTGAGAGGAGGTCTCATGAACTTTTTGCCTATGCTGGCTTTGAATTGCAATCCTCATGATCTCAGCCTCCCAAGAAGCTAGGATTAGAGGCATAAGCCACTGGTGCCTAGCTTTAAATTCCCAAATTCTGCCACTTCATTCCTCATGTGACACTTTAGAACATTTTTCAGAAGAATGGAAAAAAGAGACTATTTACCAGTGTGGCTCCGTTTATGTACCATTAAGACATTGAAGCTAATGCAGGATAATCCACACACATCGCAGTTCATCTTTCCACTGGTTGGCCTGCTACCATCATATGAAACAACATGTCTCTCCAACTTAATGTTTTCATATTCATTATATTCTCTTGCATAGCTGTAAGGAATTTCAGGCTCTTCTGCATTCCCCATGGGCTCTGGCTTTAAAACATTCTCATCTCTGTCACTGTATTCATCTTTTACTTTCAACGAATCATCTGCAGGGAAGAAAATGTAAGAAATGAACAATGACTATATTGGAAGCTGTGAAAACAGCTCAGGAAGCAGAGACCCACAACTGAGAAATAAGTACTAAATTAAACTAACTAACAGACACAAAACAAGAAAATGCCATTAGTATGATCACTCATTATTTGAATTCAGAACCACAGTCAGAGCAAAACACACATACATACTCACACACATAAAAATAGACAGTGTTTTAGATTATCCAGAAAATTAGAGATAACAGGTTTTAGCTATGACTACTCAAAGAGACCATGAAACAAACATTTTGATCAACTTGTCCTCAGTACTGGGGGAGAAGAAAGGTTCTCAGATGTAGTGCCTTTTTTGGTGGGTGCAGTTAAAAAGGCAGGGTGATGTGTGCTCTTAGGTTTCAAGAAGAAAATACCATTTTGATCCTTCAAATACATCAATTTAGATTACCAAGATTGGGAGTTAAATAGTGCAGTTAGAATTTAAGCCAGGCTTTGCTTCTTCCTCTTCCATGTATATGAACTGCTAAAACTCATCTTATCTTCCTATCTCTCTTGGAACTGTGAAATAGTGTTGAGAAAGATAAAAGGAGAAGTAATTCTTCAATAAAAATTAAGGCACAACGTCCCTTCACGTAGGTAAACTGGACTCACTTAAGTGAGGGAAGGACATTATACCCAAGCTGAGGAAGTCTAAACTCAAAACGCTAGAATTGTAGGACTAAATGGAGGGACAGGCCCAAGTGAGTTGACTGATCTACAGTACACTTTAAAAGGGCTATAACACTTTTTTTTTTTTTTTGGCAGTGCCCTGGGGAGAACTTATGGCCTCATGCATGCCACATGCTATGCAAGTACTGTCCCAATAAGCTTTATTTCCAATTCTGCTATAATATTCTTAAGATAAAGAACATAAGAAACAGAGAAGGCAAATTTATGTACTAACAACAACAAAACCTAAAAATTTGTCTGATGAAATTACAAGTATTTGTAAGGGATTTTTCACGTATAAAATATGCTATATAAATGCTTAGTTTTTCAAACACTGGGTCTTTAGAAATTGGAAGTTATACTTTTCTATGAAGAATCACAAATCAATGGAACTAAGGGCAAAAGGGAATTCAGAGCTCATTTAATCCAACCCTCTTGTTTCTCAGATGAGGAAATCTGGGAGCAGAGATGTTTTCAGTGATTTGTCCAAACTTACAAAGCCAGTTACTAGCAGCGGTGTGCTTAGAATGCTAAACTTAATCTTGAACTATCAGTTACTTGGATTTTACCAGATACCCTAGATGTAAAAGGTCAAAGTGGCTTCTTACCAATTCCATTCCACAACCTCCCTTCACTGGGTAGATGTTAACACCCAAAACACTCTGAAAAAATATTTTTAAAAACTACATCCCTTTCAAAACACATTAGTGTTGCTCCTGTTGCCACATAGGAGGAAGTACAACTGCAGCTGTGCCTGGCTTGCTACCTTCAACCCAAGTTTCAATTTTCACTTCTATCAAGGTTACCTTTCATCTATATTAACTGTGTTTGCTTAATAGAGCAAGACAGGGTCTAACCAACAGCAGAGCCATGGCTGTAACACTGTTTCACTGCTCACCACAATTCATGGTTCGCAACCTTGCACTCTTGACTGGCAGAGACGGAGGACTGCAGTTTAAGCACATACTATTCCAAATTTGCCCATCCTATGCATCTGGGTTTTATATATATGAATTGATACCTATGTCCTACTTGGAAAGAGTTTTATTTTTCTCTGGACATTTCTGGACGGAATTTATTTCCTTAAGTGTTTTTTTTTTTTTTTTAAGAGAAGGATGCACCTGAGGCTTGCACCCTCCTGCGTTCCTCCATCACTCCAGCTGTGGGTGATATTCCACCAAAGCTTGAGTGCTTTTCAGTTTGCATGTAGGCGTTAAAAAGAACCTCAACGGAAAACTTCAGCTACTAAAAACCAAAAAACAGCAGATTGAAAGGGCCAGCAGAAAAGGATCCTTTTTATTTTGGTTAGAAAATATGAATATGACCACACACAGGCCACTTCACAGTTAGTGAATTGTTAAAAAATAGTAAGATAAATGTGTGGGGTCTTTCTGAAAACAAAAGACAGAAGACAGCTGTTTCTTTCTTCAGGATTTTGGCTTCAGTAGTTCTAATTTGGAACTTAATACCCTAACCTGGCTCAGGATCAGATCTTACCAAGGAAGATGGTATTTGAGATCAAGAACATAAGGGAAAACAAATGAGTCATATGGAAAGGGTTGGAAAAGTCCTTTGGACTGATTACTGGACCAAAAAAGTTCATGGTATAGTTGCTTATTTACCAATTTTAGAAAAAAAAAAACCTGCATTACTTTTCTGCATGATTATTGGGGATCAGCAACTTATAGTTTACTATTAAGGTTATCTTTCATCTATATTAACTGTAAAGGCAAACAGTTACAAATTAGAATCTAAGGTACAAATAGTATTTTTGAGAGATTACTGGGCTTAGTTCCCAGCCTCTAAATATAGTCCACTGAAACCTCCAGGAAAGACACAAGATTGCTCTAATAAAGAGATTCATTTAACTTCTTAGGAGGATTTCTTGAAGTAAAGGAAATGAGGGCACTCTACTAGTAGAACTAGGAAATACTAATAAGTATGTCTAAAATAAAATATGTCATCTTTGACCCCAAATTTGTTTCTAATTTTTAATTTATTCATATTTACAGATGGCATATCCCTTCTTCCAGTCTCTAAGTCTTGAAACTGTGGAGTTCTTTCCCATTCTAACTCTACACCAAATAAGTCTTCAGATTTAGCAACTCTATATCCTTGGGCTCTTTGGGTACCAACTCCTCTTTTACTTTTCATTTGCAATTTAGTTGAGCCTCCTATCAAAAGATAGCTAAACTCATGCTCTCTCAACATTCCTTTGCAATTAGATTGACTACAAAGATAATTTATACTTACTGCCTCTACATCCCTGAAAATGTCTGTAATCTGACTTCTGCCTCCATCATTCATTGAATCTGATCTTCTAAAGATCATCAATTATCTCATGATTCTTAAATGCAATGCCTTTTTGTATACCATTCCAAATTCTCAGTTATTCATGACATTACTGACTACCATTTCTTGTTCTTCTATACTCCTATTTCTCCAATTAAATTGTACTACCTTTTCTTTTTTATTGCTTCTTTCCAGCTTTTTTTCCTCCATATACCTCCTAACTACTGTCTTTAACCCTCTGTTTTCTTCTCTTTGCACATCTCTTCTATGGCAACTTCATCCATTCTTAAGGCTCCAACTAGCATCTTATATAATTAATCTTCAATTACATCTTTCCAGGTGTAATTCCTTCTTCAGCCCTCTTTTCCAAAGTCTTCCAAGGTATCTTCCCAGTTACTCAAGCTGTAATCCTTATAATCATGCTTCCTTTTTCTTGTTTGTGCTCTAATTCATTTACTCATTGGTTCTCTTTTTATACCCCACCTCCAGGCTGTTTTTCTACCCATCATTTGGCATGACCATTATTCTCTCAGAGTCTATCACCTTTCCCATTACCTGTAGCCTCCACATTTGTTCTCTTTTCTAACTCATCTTCTACATTACCACAAAATTGTTCTTCCTAAAGCTATAGTGCTGGTCATAGCATGGTCTTGCCAAAATTCTTCAACAGTCTCCACTGCCAACAAAATTAAGCACAAACTCAGAAACAAAGAATTTTAAAAGGTCTTTTGAGATCTGGTCCAAACTTATCCTTAGAATATTGGTTCTTGACTACTACTCAGATATCTTTAACTAACTTAAACAACTTCTAAGTATTCTTGGTTTTGTTTTTATTATTTCCACTGACTAAAAGGTCTTTCCCCAGCATTGCCACAGATCTAAATCACATATATCTTCTCAGGTTAAACTAATATGCTATTTTTCTTCTATTATGTCTTCCCTGATCTGCTTAGCTAGAAAATAACTTGTCCCTTCTTTCGAGTTACTTATAAACTCTCCTCACTCCCCTTCAGACATGTTAGCTAGCTGAGGGCAGAAGCCATACAGGTGTTTTGTGGTGTGTGTGTGTGTGTGTGTGTGTATCTAATTCAGTATTCCCTATGACACTACTTAACCTGTATTTACTAAGTACAAAAGTTTTTCTTGGGTGACATGGCATGTTCCCATATTCCTAGTTACTAAGGAGACTGAGGTGGGAGGATCATTTGAGCACAGGAGTTTCTGGTCATCCTGGACAACATAGTGAAACTCTTATCTCAAAATAAAATAAAAAGCAAATGCCAGGTGCCTGTGGCTCACACCTAGCTACTTGGGAAGCTGAGATTGGGAGAATGGAGGTTCAAGGCTAGCCCGGACAAACAGTTCACGACAGCCCATCTCCTAAATAATCAGAGCAAAATGGACCAGAGGTGTGGCTCAGAGCACAGGCTTTACAAGCATGAAGCCCTGAGTTCAAACCCTTGTCCCACCAAAAAAAAAAAAAAAAAAAAGTAAAATAAAATCAAGTAGTGGGCATGAGGGTGCATGTCTACAATTCTAGTAGTGAGATGCTGTCTCAAAAACATACAATGGCAACTAAAAAATCCCAAAGACCAGAGGACTGCATGGTTTTAAAATAGAAAGTTTGGAGCTCCTATGGCAGCTTTACTAATCTAGGAAAGGGGGCAGGAAATATGCATTTGAAAAACACACTTTCCACATAAACTTTAAGAACAATGGAGTTTGACACAGTGCCCTACATCAGGAAGGCATCCAATAAATTCTTGGCCCATGGGAATATAATACCATTGCATTAGACTCCTAATTAGCCTACTGCGTATGCAAGCTCTGTTACACTACCTCCAGTTGCCAGACTAGTCATGCCGTGGTGATAAGCCCTTGTTTAGAGACTTTTAGTGATTTCATCTTACTTACAGAATAAAATCCAAACTTCTTAGTGAATCCTGGCCAGAACCTGTCCAGACCTACCTGAGCATCTCATTTCTCAGTTCTCTGGA